TATATATATATATATATATATATATATATATATATATATATATATATATACAGCCAAAAGAAATGGATATTCTCATCGCTATGATGAATATTTTCTATAGTCTTATACTGCTAAACCTCGTTTAAATGACATGAAAGAGTATAGCTCATTTATCCAATAATATTCTTGATGTTTTAATGGTTATGAAAGTCCATAAAAACTTGAAGCCCCTCACATGCAGTGCTAAAAAGTTGCTAACCATATTTTTGAAAGTGAGATTTTGCTTTGAAAACCTGTTTTCAAAAGCGTCTTCAGTAAACTTCATGCATTTAAGCTGCTCTGCACACTTTCTGCAGTGAAATTGTTATGAAAATCATCATCTGGAGGATTTCTGGATTGAACTTGCTCAAAACCCCCATTATAGAAACAATAAATTCTGAAAAAAAAACTGCAATCCACACTTATTGTGAAGGTGACAGTTGTGTTGAAAGCCTGTCTCCAATGACTTTTTCAGCAGACTGAGTGTATTTAAGTGGCTCTGCACATTTTCTGGAGTTACAATGGCATGAAGAGTTGCTTTTTGGAGTATTTCTGGATTGCACCTGCTCAAAACGCCAAAATGGTGGCAATAATTGTTTAAAAACAACTGAAATCTACACTTTTGAAAGTAAAATTCAGGGGGAAAATCTTTTCTCAATGACTTTTTCAGCAGACTCCATGTATTTGAGCTGCACTGCTTAAACCCTTGTGAGGGGTAAGTCAGGATATTTTCAAAAAACATTTTGCCACTAAGCACTGGAAATAAAAAAAATCCCCTTTTTGTACTAAGGCCTAAGTGGAGAAAAAGTCTGATATATATATATTTTTTTAATCCTGAAGAAAATTTTGACTGAAAAAATTCCCTCATTCAGTGCCATTTTTCTTGCAATCCTGGCTAATGATTTGCATTGGAGAATCCTGAAAAAAAATAGAAAATGTGGCCCCTGAATTTTTCCTGACTTGGTCCATCTTGACATGGGAGCATTTCAGTGACCTTGGGTCAAACTGAAATGCCCTACCCCCCCCCCTCAAAATCCCAACTCTGCTGCGCAATGAAAAAGAACCCTCTCTTATCCGAGGGGTAAAAATACATGGAAGTCAAATACCTCCATATGTCAAATTTGTTTAAAATTCTTTCAATAATCACTTGAAGGCTTTTTTCCTCAGATCTACATAACTGGAATTTCAAGGATGCCTTATTCTGGTTATAGTTATATTGTGTTTGTGACTCAAGAAAGAGAAGGACAATAAAACGGTATCTTAATGATACAGTATTTGAAAGGAAGTGAAAGAATATTTTGGCATATGATCCTTGCATCCAAGTTCAGCATCTGGCAGACTTCTGTACCATGCAGTTTTTGGCAAAAGAAATTCCACTTAAGTTAGCTTAATTCAATTCTTATTTCTCAAAGCTAAAATGGTAGTTTCCGTAACTTGAATCCATCCTGAGTCAAGTTTTTTTTCTTGTCCCTTGGAATTTGACTTTTGAGGAGGTTTGACTGGATAATGTTTATTCCAATTTAATTCACTGATTTGCAATTTTGACATATAGAAAGAGTGTAATTTCAAATTTAATTATAACATCCATTGCATCTTCTTGAATATTCTCTAAAATAAGAAATTTTGGAAGCATGTCAAAATTTTAGGAAGGTATTATAAGTTTGTGGTTCAACCCTTTTTAAGCAAAAAACTTGATCTTTGTACTGTACTATAATAGTCTCGGTATATATGCAATAATAATTATTTTACCTTCAATGCCCAAAAAATATCACACTATCAGAGGAAGAGTGCAATTTGTACCTGTTTTACATATAATTGAACCCAAGTCATTTTTGCATGCAATTTCCAGTGTTAAAGTTTGAAAGCATGCACTATATGTAAGGGATAGTCGTTCCGCGACAATACCCGTTACATAAATTAATGAAATAATATTATTACCGCTGCGCAAAAAACCTCGCAACGGGAAATCCTGTTCGGATCTCCCGATTGCGCAATGAAAATCCACCCGTCCATTTTCTAAACTATAAATGAACGCTCGCCCTGTTGAGCGTAAATCAGAGCAGCAGGAATGCGGGAATTCCCGTAGAAATTTTTAATCACCTCCCAGGTGGTCATGGGTCCTACAACTGACCGAAAAGGAGCCCGATGTTCAGTGATGATGATGATTCAAACTCTACTTCGTAATTTTCATCGATTCAAGGAATAGTATGCATATTTATCAGAGGTTATCGAAGGATGATACGTGAAATTCCGGTCTCTCCTCAAAGAAATTTGAAACTAAAAAACTTCACGAAAAATACGAAACAGAGATTGAAATCCATCGATTTTCGTCATGTAAGGAGACAGCATTGGCAAAAGAGACAGCATTGGCAAAAAATAATTATACTGAATTACAAAACTACAGTTTATCTAAAATTCATAATGAGGAAACCCGAAAAAGAAGTTCATATTCCGCCTAAGGGATTTTCGCCAGAAATAATTCTTCCGAAAAATAACAGGGAGCAAAAACCGTTGGACGCCACAACTCCAATATATCAAAGAATGAACATACATTTTCCGAGCATTAAAAAAGTAATGAATAACAGGAAAATGACGTAATAAGTGCATCGATGCAAACACAACTGTAAGGGATAGTCGTCCCGCAAATACCCGTTATATAAATTAATAAAATAACGCTGCCGCTGCGCAAAAAATCCCGCAACGGGAAATCCTGTTCGGATTTCCCGATTGCGCAATGAAAATCCACCCGTCCATTTTCTAACCTATTTTCTACACAGTCTGTTCGTTCGTCTCGAAGTGTAACAATACCCGTTACATAAATTAATGAAATAATATTATTACCGCTGCGCAAAAAACCTCGCAACGGGAAATCCTGTTCGGATCTCCCGATTGCGCAATGAAAATCCACCCGTCCATTTTCTAAACTATTTTCTACACAGTCTGTTCGTTCGTCTCGCAGTGTACACTTCTATTGCGTTCTGTTGCGAAATTTCTGATTGTGATTATTTTCGGATCTTGAAAGTTTTCTCTCTTGAAATATATTATTCTGTTTCTCTTTTGGGATTCTGCCGAGAATCCCCTGCCCTGTTCCCGGGCGGATTGTGTCTTATATTCATTTTTCATCTTTTTTTCATCTTTGTGATTTACCTTCCATCACAAAATTGGTAGCAGAGCGTGGTTTTGTTAAAGATTTGTCCTCTAATTTACAAATTTAAGAAAGTTCCAGTAATTCCTCCCCAATAACGTAAAACCAATTTAATTTTAAGGTTTAAGATAAACGTTAACATTAACGTCAAATTACACCTCGATACGCGAAAAGTGCCTCAAAGGGTTACAAATCATCTATCATCATGACTCGCCGTCCAGGGAGACCCAAGAATGCTACAGCACCGGGTACCGTGAGTAACTTAAATACGGAACAGCAACAACCCAACGATGATATTCCGATCCCACAAGAAAACGAAGAGCAAGCTGTAGTTATTAATGAAGTAGAAGTACCTAACCCCGAAATTGAACCAATAGAACCATTGTTTGATGATGACGATGAGATCATGGCCAACCCCATGCCGGAAGATAACGCTCCAAACAAAACAGCCTCTGTCCCACAACACAACGCAATATCGAACATCGCTGTCGGACTTAAGCAAATAATCATCACTATTATACTAAGGATAGCCCAGTTAATTAGAATTGCTGATAGATTACACCCAACGCCCAGCACCGATTCAAAAAACCAAGAATACGGAAAGCTTCAGAGAGATTTTACCGAATTGCTTACCTTATTGGCTACGGCGGAAAAGGACGGTATTGATCAGGTTAATTGGACTAAAATACTTCAACTACAAAAGGAATTAACAAACATTGTAGTTACACCCTTGGATGTTAGTCGACAATTGGCCCAACATCCGTCCCTCATCGCAAGTAATCTTAGAGATTGAACTCCCAATGTCACTGAACCCCCGTCAAAATATTAACACTCAAGCGCCATCTGTTAGCGATATTCATCTGAATCACTCTAATGCTCCCTTATTCACTCGGCAATCCTTTCAACATAATGTTACGCATCTGTCGTCATCGCATAATACTCACAAAGATGGAGCTTCCTCCTCTGCAACTAAAGCCAATAAAATGAAGTTTCTAGGCATAAACCCAAAGGATACTAAGAATACTTTGAAGGAAGAACTAAAAAACTATGGGACCGGATCCCCTATTGATTTGGGGAATCAAGGATCTACTGCATTTGCTAAAAACTACCATGACTCGCTCCAGTCCTCCTTCACTAAGTTTAGTAGCGAACCCAATGAAGAACAAACTTTTGAAAGAGTTTGGACTCAGTTTCGACATATTCACGAAGCCCCAAAGGCCCAAATCAAACCTAGAGAGAGAATCAATCTATTTCTAATGCATTTTGAAGGTAAGGCTAAAAAGACGTGTTCTCAATATCAAGGAAGGAATACTGATAATGATTATCTTGGTATGTTGCAAACAATGTTTGATAAGTATGGTAATGTTAATTTGTTGAGAGACCAATTAATCAAAGAAATTGAACGACTTCCCCGTCCCAATGGTTCCTATGAAGAAGCTGGAGCTTATCTTGAAGAAGTCTTAGAGCGATTCATTTGTCTGAACAACATTTGTATGACCCCCAAAGAAACACAACAACAAATTTGGCCATCTGTTATCGACCACCTTAAACACAATACCTTTCTTGATACCCTCGCAAACTCCATATCCTTAGCAGATGATGTTACTGATGAAACCCTGGATGAATGGGAAGAACTTCCTGAAAGTCGCTATCGATGGTTGATTAGTTACTTCCTAGACGCATCCAGAACCCAACCAGGAACCAATGAATATAATGAAAAGTTATTGTCCTTTAAGATTTCTGAGAAAATTCTAGATAAACCTAATAAAGGTGTCAAAAAGAAAAAGGAACCTGAAATCATTACGATACCCGCTGCTCAAGAGTCTCCACAACAAAACAATCTTGTCCCTGTATTACAACAACCCACGACATCAGCTAATCAAGATTTAACAGGAATAGCACCTAGGCAATTCTCGCAAGGAAATACTCAAGGATGGTCCTCAAATCCCAGACCATGCCTGTATTGTAGAGGGAATCACAGTTTATTCGATTGTCCCAAAACCATTGATGAAAAACGAAAAGTTCTAGGTAATCAAATGCGCTGTCATAATTGCCTGCGAACTGGCCATCGTTCATATGCCTGTCCCCTCCAAACTAATTGTAAGAAATGTAATCAAAGACATCACACATCTATCTGTGACTCCAATAGATCTCAATACAATCAATGAAACAATGGTAGACAGGATAACCGATTTCACCCATACCAAAATAGGAACAGATCTCAAAATTCCCAATCACAACAACAAGTAGATAAGTCCACCTTGGATAAAGCATTACAAGAAGTTCGAAATTTTCAATTATCCATACTTCCCATCCAACGTTTCTTTGCCATGGGTTTCCAGCAAAATAATCCAGGAGGATCTGGGCAATCTCAGGAAAACCCCACTATTCCAAACTTGTCTCAATTGTCAATACAGCCCCCAGCGGTAAGACCAGCCATAGAAGGTATTCAATCTGAACCCAGACAGGAGAATCAACCTAATTTATGACTAGAAGTGGTCCAAATAAAAGCATATCCAATATCTAGTATTTCTTCTACCTTTTTGGAGTCCACAGAAGCCATTCATGCAGATACTGGGCAAAATATATACATACTACTTGACTCCGGAGCACAGATCAATTTGATTACTAAACGACTTGTAGATGAATTAGGATTGAAGGAATTTAAAACAAAGTGTAATTATACAATCATGGGTGTCAACAACGAAGGTCTTGGACTCCAATCTTGCTCTTATGTTGAACTATCACTGAGATCTAGAACCAACGAAAATTTTCAACTAAAGACTCATGCTGTTGTAGCCCCCCTTAAAAATAGCTGGAAGGGAAAGAACCCAACATCCCTACAACACTTTAGCGTAAATATTAATCAACTTGCTGACCCTCGAATTTTCGAAAAAAATCATATCACCTTTGACTTGGTGCTGGGGGGCAGAGACTTAATTCCCATCTTTAACGTACCAAAGCCCACCATGTATCGTACAGATGTGTTTCAGCTCATGAGTACTAACTTCGGAATCGTCCCAAGAGGAACTCCAGATATCCCACAATGTGAGACCCAAACCTGAAACTACCTTTCATACCTATTTGTTCCAAGGCATTGAAACGGTAGAAGACGAGATATTGAACGCAAAAATACTCCAAAACATGGAATTAGATAATCTGCTTTACAGAGAACCACGAGATGAAGTGATTGATGAAAAGGCAGTCTATGAGGAGTATATGACTAGACTTAAAATCATTGATGGTAGAATTGTAGCACCCCTCCCCAAACGAGAGTGCTTCAAGAAACACTGCAACCCTAATTTAAAAATGGGTGAAGCTCGAATAAAGGGCGTAATAAGAACACTAGAAAAGGGAGACCGCCTGTCGGAGGAATACAAAAAATTCATACAAGAATGGATAGATAATGGAGTCATTACACCAGTTGAACTTCATGACCTGTATAACAGAAACCGACCCTTTACCGAATTACCTCACCACGGAGTAGAAAAACCAAATAGTATATCCACCCCCTTGCGAGTTGTTATTGCCGGAAACGCCACTGATAGAAATAAAGCAGCATGTAACAATAATTTTGAAACCGGTCCAAAAATACTACCCGATCTCGTTAGTATCCTACTCCGAATGCGTTTTGCTGACTGTATAGGAATAGCTGACGTTAAGAAGGCGTTCGTACAAGTACAACTTGAAGAGCAGGATCAATGGGTATTGATTATTAGATGGCCCGAAAAACAAGCAGATGGAAGCTACTCCTTCAAATTCTTTCGATTCTTACGTCTGCCTTGGGGAATAAATTGTGCCCCATTCATTCTAAATGCTTGTATCAGATTTGTATATTGGAATGCTGTCAAAACTGGAATATTGTGTAAGGAAGCCGAAGAAGAATTATCCAACAACACATATGTAGATGACGTTCTTGTCACCGTAAATACACAGCAAGAAGTTCAACAAAAGTTAGACATGGCTTGTGAGGCATTAAAACAGGGGGGCTTTATCTTAACGAAGTTCAAACTGTCGGGAAAAACCGATGAGGAAAAGGAGGAAAGGGAAACATTTAAAATCTTGGGAACCTCATATGATCCTAATGATGACACAATAGCAGCATCCATCGACAAGCTCATGAATTTCAGTAAATTCACACAACTGAGTCAACGTCAAGCCACCGCTATTTTAGCAAAATTGTTTGACCTCCTAGGATTAAACACTCCCTTCCACACCCAATCCAAATTGAGTCTGAGACAGTATCTTAATGACAACCCAAAAGCAGATTGGAACTCTAAACTGACAGAAGATGAAAGTAATGTATTCCAAAAAATAGCCCTAGACTCAATAGAAGCCTCTAAATTAAAATATCCTCAAGCGCTTAGAGTAAAAAACGAAATCCAAGGTGAGCTCCACGCCTTTTCAGACGCAAGCGGCTCCGCCACCGCAGCAGCTATATACTATGTATCTCAAAGTAATGAAGAGACAAAGGTAAGCCTAGTGTGGGCAAAATCCAGGTTAGTTCCTCAAACCGAAAAAAAAGAAAGAAAACAAAGAAATACGAATTGGGAAATCAAAAAAGCCCAAAACCCCACGAAAAAAGGACGAAACCCTAAAAATAAACCCTATTGAACTCACAGCAGCCTGCCTGGCCATCGAAATCATGAAGATTGTTAAGAAATCCCAAAAATTTATCAATTGTGACATATACTACTGGACAGACTCTATGGTAACCCTTAACTGGATATACGCATCAAGCAATATCACCCCTCTATTTGTACAATCTAGAGTAAAAACCATTTTAGAAGAGTCTGATAAAACTCAATGGCGTCATGTCCCAGGTGTAGATAACCCCGCAGATATAGCATCTCGAGGATGTCCAATCGAAAAGCTCAAAGATAACACGTTATGGAGAACTGGTCCTATATGGCTTACCACTAAGAGCAAATGGCCAGAATCCAGAATGTCCGTTCTTACCTCACTAGACTCTACTAAAGAACATGAAGAACTTAAGATACAGCAAGAACTCCATACTATCCGGAAAATGTTCACAGGAATCTTCAAATGCGATGGTATCATTAGCAGAATAGCCGCTTGGAAAAGATACGTTGTATTCATGCCAATTTTAATAGCAGCCGGATTCTTCAAGCATAGAAATCTGAAGCAGAAAAGAAAGAAAATTGATTTTGGACCCCTTCGAGAAGCATTCAGTGTTAACGAATACAACAAAGCCGAAACTCAAGCTATCAGAATTATACAGAAAAGCTATGCATATAAGGAGTGGAAGATCTTAAAAAACGGAAAAACAATACCAGAAAAACCGGATCTACATTGGGATAAGGCCAATCAATATATCATCTCCTTAAGTAGACAAGAAATAGACCTCAAAACACAAATACCTAAAGATGATCCTGTATGACAAACCCTTATTTATCTACCAGTCCCTAGAAAAACGTGTCACGCTAAACTCATAAAAGCCTTAATATTGTCAATTCATCAAA